ATCTTCAGGGTAGAAAAAACCGCGATCGAGGAACCGGCTTGAGCAGGTTGCTGGAGACGTTTCTCCGAAATATCGGTTCACACAAGATGAACACGCGCCACATCCCAGAAGACGACATTCTTCATAGTCACCGCCGTGACAACCCCATGTCTTTCAGTCATCATCATTGTACACGCGGGTGAACGTAAATATTTGAACTGGAGAAAGAGCAGCTCGCATTTCGTGGCGTCGTTGCTTCTGTTTCTGATTTTATGCAATTTAAGTTTCGTGTCCTTTTTTTCTATTCATTAGCGCAGTTCTCTTAATTATCGCGCGCATTACGTTTTGCATCCCCGTAATTAACTGCGGTTGGCTATTCTTGTTCTCCCTCCTTCTACTTGATTATCTCCATAAAGTTGATAAGTACGACTGTAAAGCTGCTTCATTTATGTGGGGTCTGAACAGTAAATTTGAAGTATTCTTTCGGCTACTAACGACTTAAATGTTTTAGGTACCCTGGTTTTCTTTATTGCTAGTGGGGTGGGACTAAGTCCCTTGTACTGCGGCCACTTCTGGCCTATTGTACCGGCCCCAGATGATAGGTGAGAGTGATTGTGGAGCAATTGGTGGAATGAAGATTGGCAGGGGAAACCGAAGTACTCGGAGAAAACCCACCCCAGCGTCACTTTGTCCACCACAAATCCCACTTGACCAGGCCCGGGATCGAACCCAGGCCGCCGCGGTGGGAAGCCACCGACTAACCGCTTGAGCTATGGCGCGGCCCTACCTTGGGGTTTTAAGTCCAGGCACTTAGCAAGAGAATCCATGATTCTAGAAACTTACGTTTCTTGTTGAACACATAACTCCATAAAATTTTCGAAACCTGTTTATGGTACACAGAACATTATGGAATACACATTACAGTATATATATTATATATTTTTTTCTCTGAAACTTTCTTTTTAGATTTAAGAAGAGAGACATAAAAGTTAAGTACTTACTTAATCTGTTCCTCTTAACTTACTAGGGGCTACCCTCAGATCCGCCCTAAAGCACATAACTTGGATAAGCAAGAGAAATGCAACAAATAGCCAAGAGTTCGCATCCAACAAAACTGTATTCATAAACTACACCACAACATAGAGGAAAATTATGCAACAGCCCCCTTCAGCATACCAACATATGTATGCTAAAGTTTGCACGCCACCTAAGAAGAGAAATATTGACTACATGCTGACATTCTCAGGACGAAACCCGTCCGATATGTTTCATTTTGCTGTGGCTCATGAAAATATTAACAACACGAAGTTAGTAGAGTTTAAGTCTCTGGAGTAGGAGATTATAAATTATAGGTTCTGCAAGGAAACCCTTGCTTATATGTCATAAGGGGACCGAAATATTTCATGTTGACAAGTGGAAAAAAAAGCTACAAATTTGATTGAAGGAAAATTCCTAGAGTTTAATTTATTCCATAATTAATTCAACAGTAATAAAAACAATAGGAAGGAAGAACAAATTTTCATTCGTATATTTGCATAATAAATATAATAGTGAAATGAATTAAAGACTAACTTATAAATTATGGATTTAAATTTAAAATAATTGTAGCAATAAATCGAAGCTTTTGGATGGTTGAATAATCACCCTTCTGATCCATATCAATTCAGCTGTTACGAGGCATGCAATGAATTACACGCCTTGCTGAGCGAAGCTTTATTAACACGCTCTGTCGAGCCCTAATTAAGAATGGCACAGAACTGCAAATGAGATGTTCCAAACACGTGCCAATCGCACGACACCTCAATTGTCAGCATTCTTCTGTTACGAACAAAAAGTGGTTAAGAATTAACCAACAAAGGACTTGTAAAAATCGGAATTTTCGAGAAAATATTACTTTATAATTAAAGAACTGTTTGAACATTTGTTTCTTTTTTTGTATAACCCTGATTTTCTTTCTTTATCTCTCTCACTGACATCCTTGAAATTCTTTAGTTAGGTTTGTGAATTTTTGCATACGTAAGTGGACGAATAAATTACGAAGTACTTAAACTCAAAATTTTGTGTGAATATATTCGTTGTTCCTTTGGTGGAAAGGGGGCACGCGGTAGAGTAGTTGGTTGAGACACTATGCTACAAGCAGGAAGGTCGTGGGTTCGAGTTCCGATGAGATGATTTTTTTCAATTCATCTAATCCTAGCCACGCTATGGGCCTGGGGTAGACTCAGCCTCTAACCGAAATGAGTACCAGGAATCTTCCTGGCGGGTAAAGCGCGGCCGGCGTGTAAGGCTGACAACCTTACCGCCATTTTGAGCTAATTGTCTAGATACTGTGGGACCCTCAACGTCTCACAACCCTATGGGCCTTCACGGCCTGTTACAGGGATACCCTTACCTTTATATTTATGTTTTTTTTTCATGTGCACATCTATAAATAAAGTTAAATCTTGGTACAAATAAGGAAAAATAAATTCCTTTAGGATACATTATGACAGCTGAGATAGCTCAGTCGGTAATGCGACGGACTACAGTTGCTGGATTTTCTCTTTTCCATAGAACTCATATTGCGTGTGTGGGGGGGGGGGGGGCAAACACCTGTTTAATGGCTACCTGAAGACTCTTCTCCACAGGTTAAAGCGGCAGGGGCGTAACACTGACTATACACCTCTATCTAGAGTGGAGGATAAAAATTACAGATAATGGGGATCGAATTCTGACGTAAACTTCAGGAAATGAAGTGTATGAGTTGAGCTAAATTACGTTACTCAGTGGAGTCTGCTAACATTACATTACGACGTTCAGAATGTCCGTCTTAGGCTCTTGCTGTTTTGCGAGAACTGTTTGAGAATAAGGAAAACCCTCTATAAGTTCGAATGTAAGCCACTAAGATAAAGGTAAAGTTGTCCCTGTGCTTAACTAATTAAGCGCTACGCCATTAAGGCGTATGGGGGAGTGAATTTATAGATCCACATTTTCTTGGCCTCGGTACTAGTTGGAGGTGAGTTGTCAGCTTCACGTCCCAGCAATGTTACCCCCGGGGAAAGAACCCCAGGTACTCATGGGATAGGAGGTTGCGTGGACACGAGATTCGGTCTGGACGATGTGGAGAAGAGAAAATTCTTGACCCTACTGGAACTCGAACTCCGACCTCATGGTCCTCCATTCCATAGGCAGCCTATATACCGACTACACTAACCCGTCTCCCGACTATAAGCCGGTAAGTTTATGAAAACTTCTATTTTCTGGGTTATAACGCATTGTAGCCCGTTGCAAGACAATCGATCTTTTTGCCTGATTTAGACTTGTTTCTTGCCGTGCTTAATCTTCAGTCCTGAATATGGGGCAGAAATGTTCCTCCGAAACGTCTGTTGATTTTCAGCTTACTACTAAAAATAAACTCCGTGGCCTTTGGTCCCCCAGTGTACTATACCGACCGAGCGACCGCCGCTTGTCGGCGAAGTTAGTGCCAACTTTTGCGGATAGAGGGTGTCACGTGGTCAGGACAACGGATCACCACTGCCGCCAATCACGGTTTTCTAGACCGGAGCCGCTATTTCCTTGAAACAGCTCAGTTATTCTCATGAGGCTGAGTTAACCCCGTTCCAGACCCACTACTTCTCAGAAAATCTGGTAGCGCCGGGAATCGAACCCGGGACCTCCGGATCTGTAGACAGGAACTCTGACTACTAGACCACAGAGGCGGCTCTCAGCGGACCACACGGCGTTATATCGCAGAAGATAGGACTCGTAATCACCGTTACTGAAGTTTTACTTCAGAATTCAGTTCGTACCTCACAGGAAACAGATCCGAACCCACGATCCCGGCTTCCGAGCGAGCGAAGACAGTGCATGCCTTAGACCGCTCGGCTACTGTGACCGGCAGTGTATAAGAATAATATATAAGAATTCAGTCCGTACCTCACAGGAAACAGATCCGAACCCACGATCTCGGCTTCCGAGCGAGCGAAGACAGTTCAGGCCTTAGACCGCTCGGCTACTGTGACCGGCAGTGTATAAGAATAATATATAAGAATTCAGTTCGTACCTCACAGGAAACAGATCCGAACCCACGATCCCGGCTTCCGAGCGAGCGAAGACAGTACATGCCTTAGACCGCTCGGCTACCGTGACCGGCAGTGTATAAGAATAATATATAAGAATTCAGTTCGTACCTCACAGGAAACAGATCCGAACCCACGATCCCGGCTTCCGAGCGAGCGAAGACAGTACATGCCTTAGACCGCTCGGCTACCGTGACCGGCAGTGTATAAGAATAATATATAAGAATTCAGTTCGTACCTCACAGGAAACAGATCCGAACCCACGATCCCGGCTTCCGAGCGAGCGAAGACAGTACATGCCTTAGACCGCTCGGCTACCGTGACCGGCAGTGTATAAGAATAATATATAAGAATTCAGTTCGTACCTCACAGGAAACAGATCCGAACCCACGATCCCGGCTTCCGAGCGAGCGAAGACAGTACATGCCTTAGACCGCTCGGCTACCGTGACCGGCAGTGTATAAGAATAATATATAAGAATTCAGTCCGTACCTCACAGGAAACAGTTCCGAACCCACAATCCCGGCTTCCGAGCGAGCGAAGACAGTGCATGCCTTAGACCGCTCGGCTAACGTGACCGGCTCCCTTTTACCATACTATAATGTAATTAACTTCTCTAATTTTTCTCAGAACTTATGTCATTTGTATGTCTTATGTTGGAGACATTGAGGTGGTTGGTGATTTGCTGCTGTTTCTTTATTTACTTACTGTGTCACTTTATTGATTGTTTAGTTCCGTAAATAGTCTGTTGGTTATTCCTTTGCTGGATTAATACATTATTCCTTTAGATAAGTTATGTATCGTAACCTTCTTATCAATATTTGATATCAAGATATTAATTTTACATGTGCTGAATTTGTATGGGATAACTCCGATGTACTTCGAGGTACTAACTCTTTCTGTCTGGAGCCAAATTTTACTCTAAACAACAAGTAAATAACTGGTAACTCTCTTTTATTTCAGATGTCCTAAGATGGGTTTATTTGTGGAGCTGCTTCGCGCGGCCGCCATATTGCTCATTCTATGGCACGTCCGCGGGTCGGATTTGTAAGTATATTTCCTCTTCTTCTTGTAATGTTTGAGATTCTCAGGGCGATGAATATGAAGATTAATGGTTTTCGAGACGTGACGCCGTTCAGTTTGACCGATAAGTACCAAATTTTTGGAGGAACCCATCTACGGAATTGCGTGGCGTCGCATTCATATATTCTTAATGTTCCTGTTCATGTGAGCCGTGATAGCTCTGTACAGTGACTGGCATCCGTGGTTTGAATCTCCCCCTGGGACGATGGGGCTATTCTTCCTCTCCGTTAAGCCCACAGGGACACTGGGGCTCACCCAGTCTGGTATTAATGGAGAATAAAAGCGCCCGGAACATGATTTGAAATTCTACTTTCAGCCAATGCCAAAAATAATATGTTCACAGCTCTTTCTCCACAAACGTAACACATTTCCATAAGACGGGGTTCCAGTATGGATAGGCCTAAGTACCTTTTATTAAATTAATGCTACTTGGGACTGATAAAATGATAAAAAATAAATTTAAACACTTAAAGATACCCCTGTAACAGACCATGGAGGCCCATAGGGTTGTGAGACGTCGAAGCTCCCAGATTTTCTAGACAGTTGGCTCACAGATGGCAGGGAGGTTGTCAGCCTTACGCGCCGGCCGCCCTTTACCACCAGGAATATTCCTGGTACTCATTTCTGTTAGAGGTTGAGTCAACCCCAGGGCCAGAGTACGGCTGGAAGAATTAGGTCAATTGAAAAATTCCACATCATCGGGTATCGTACACGCGACTTTCGGGCCTGTAGCATAGTGCCTCAACCAAATACGCTACCGCGTGCCTCCCTGATAAATGATGTTACTAACTTTTAGGTTATTTGCGCTGCGCTATTCTAAGTGCATAGATTATATCGTCGAATGACCTACAAATGTGGTTATGAATGCTGAGTTCATAAATATCTGCGAGCAGGCTGTAGCTTACGCGTATTTCAAGGTATTAAAGCAGCATTTGTTTGGAGTAAGTGAGGAAAACCATGAAAACATTCAGTTCCTAACAGTCAGTAATTCTGCAATGCTATCCTAACTTATTCATTAATAACACAGCACGTAGGCGTACACATCTGAGTTATAAAACAAAGAAACAATGAATGTGTCTTCACCTGCTCAAATACTGAGATTGTGGGTTCGAATCCAATTCGAGGCACGGATGTCTGTCTGCTTTTATTCTGTGTGCGTTATCCTGTGTAGTGGGCATCAGCCTTGCCGCGGGCTGATCACCCCCCCCCCACCTCTGGAGTTCAAATGACTGATCATTAGATTCACATTAAATTACATACTTACTTACTTACTTACGGAGCTGAGCCCTTCTGGAGGAGCCGCCAATTCTGCAGCTACTCAAGAATTTCCCAGCATTTTATGGAATCCGAAGGTTCATTACCATGTTCACAAGAGCCCTCCACTGGTCTCTATCCTGAGCCAGATCAATCCAATCCATACGATCCCATCCTATCTCTCTAAGATCCATTTTAATATTGTCCACCCACCTACGTCTTGGTCTTCCCAGCGGTCCCCTTCCTTTTGGCTTTCCCACCAATATCCTATATGTATTCCTCTTCTCCCCCATTCGTGCTACATGCCCTGTCCATCTCATCCTCCTTGACTTGATCATTCTAATTATACTTTGAGAAGAGTACAAGTTATGAAGCTCCTCATTATGCAGTTTTCTCCAACCTCCTGTCACTTCACCCCTCTTCGGTCAAAATATTCTCCTCAACACCCTGGTCTCAAACACCCTCAGTCTATGTTCCTCCCTTAATGTCAGAGACCAAGTTTCACACCCATACTGAACCACAGGCAAAATTATAGTTTTGTATATTCTAATTTTTATGTGTTTGGACAGCAGAGTAGAAGACAAAATGTTCTGGACCGAATGGTAACAGACATTACCCAAGTTCAATCTCCTCTTAATTTCCTCCTCAATCGGATAAATATCTCCACTAAAATTGAAATTCCATCAGTTAGAGTGGAAATTGCACGTGTAGCTGGATTCTCATCTAGGGAATTGTGAATGCTGATACGTGTTTGGAAACAGACGGATATCTCCCAGTAGACTGATGGTTTGTACACAGACTATTGACGTGTTGGATTTATAGCCCGTGCCCTGTTTTGTCTTTGCATTTCCCTCTGTCATTAGTGTCATGGATACTAAATGGATTTACTATATTTATACTGCGTCTTTAGATAAGGAATCAGTGACAGAAGACCGCGTGTCTTGCACTAGAACTAACTCGACTGGTTGGAGACTGCATTGAACTATGATAAAATCCTACTAATGAAATGTCTGCCATTTTCCATGCTGAATTTAATTAATAAAATAATTTCTTTGATTATTTGTATTGCAGTGTGTATAGCTGTTGTTCTGCAGCGATCACGAGAAGGAACATACGTTGCTTTGCAACGGCTGGTAAACACGTTAAAATTACCAGGGCTATCCCTAGGCAACTACTCTGCAAAGGGGTTTCATTGTGATCCGTTTCTAAGCTACGGATCAGTAATCACACAAAAATAAGGGGATTGTTGGACGCCGTGTTTTCTGTTCGGTCTGTGCAAAGTTATTATAAAGAAGAGTTCAGTTGAGAATAGTCAGTCGAGTTCAGGAGTTCTAAGTGAGCCATTGGTCGAGAATTGACAGTCTCTGGAGTGTGCATTTTGCAAAATAACTTAGAAGGAACTTCAAGAAAGGAATTAGGCTGTGCAGAGAAGACTTCATAATGTGCTGCACTCACATTGAGACTGTTATACATCCGTTGCCAGGATACGACTAGTGAAGACTGAAAAAACTTACCGTGTACGACTTATAAAGCGCGTAGATCAGCGATAGCTCTGTATTATTTGTAGTTAAGAGTTGAGCGTGCAATGAATCCAAACATCCTACCCAAAACTTCGTCTAAAGTTTCGGCCACACAGAGCGCTATACGAACAGAAAAATATCCACCTTTATTGCCAATGTGACTGGCCACACAGATTTCCGTACGCTACGTACGCTATGTTCCCTATGTTACCTGCGTCGCAGAGTGTACACAGCGTACGTAGCGTACGTAGCGAACATAGCGTAGCGCTCTGTGTGGCTGAACCTTAATAATCACACAACTCAAAATAGTGGTGTTTTCATAAATTATTTTTAATGAGTGGAAACTACAAGTTCGGTCTTATCTTGAAGGGTCCATGACTGACGGTAATTTATTTCCAATTATATCATTGAACGAAGAAGATGCCCGGAGTTGAAATAGCAAATCTTTCTAAGTGAATATTTCATTTGTATTAATGAAATGGATAATCATATTCTCAGGGAAAAGCTTATGATTTTATTTTCCTTGAAATCCTTCCATTTGTATAGAGAAATGAGGAAGTTGTAGGCTAACGATTATAAAACTTATTTTATTGTATGAAAATTCTATTATACCCATTACTCAGTACATCACAAATTTTAAAAGTAATATCTTATCAAAAAGAAGTCATCATATGTTAAACTTTTAATGCATAAAATATTCTGTAGTTAGAAATTCTTCAAATGCATTTCTCTCTTAGCTGAAATATTAATGACTGAAATAAATAACATTGGAATTTTATCTGTTATTGCTGAGAAGAATATTTCGCATTAATAGGACGAAAACTGGATTATGGAACAAAATTGCATAATGAGCAGCTTAAAAACGTATTCCTTTAAACATATTACTAGGAAGATTTAACGAGAAACAGGTTAAATAAATATTTACAGCATTTTATTAAAGTGTGAGGATATATCGGAGAGCAGTGTTAAGGCGAATTTCTGAAGAAATGTAGTTTTTTGGTGTAAACTGAATTCATGCAATTTAGGTCAAGGATGAAAAGCGGATATTTGTTGACATTCGGTCATAAAAATGGCAAGGAATTTCCTCACTGAGCGACAAAAAATTCTGCTCTGCTTCATAGAATTAGTTAATTTGCTGATTAGCTTATCTTCTCTTCTTAAAATTGAGCAATATTTTTGAAGGAGAAAAGTAATTATGAAGTAATTAGAGTGTCAACACATATTACAGGTAGCTGACTTATAGACAGGATGAGATAACATATTTTAGCGAAACGTCTACTGCAGACATAAATATTCATGAAGCTCAGGAAACTTATCGACACAAGAAACTCAGTATTGTCCCACATAAAAAATACAGAGTGAAAAAAAAAGTATATCCATTGACTGAAATATTTCGTGGTTTTTCTAATTCGTTCTTGGCGAATGTCGGTATTTTTTCTTGTTAATTCTATAACGGTATTTAGATAATACAGCTTCGATAATGCTAGGATAATTCATTAATACAGGTAGTATTAGGGAATTTACCTGAATGGATTGGGTAATAGAAAAACTTCAGTCATGATAACTAATGTAATGACTCATATTGTAAGCGAGTACGTCCAGTATACAAGCGTATAATGTTACAGCTAGACCGATGAGTTCAATGCCGGTCTGTCACATAGGCCAAGACCACTTCGTTCCTTTCAGATTCCACTGGGATATTCACCATTCAAGATCACCCTTCCTAGTTCAGTCGGAGAAACACACAACCTGTGTAGTCAAAGCAACATCGTCAAATACAAGTAAAACAAACAACAAAATACTCCGTGGCTCTAGACCGCAAGACCGAGCGACCGCCGCTTGTCGGCGAAGTTAGTGCCAACTTTTGCGGATAGAGGGTGTCGCGTGGTCAGTGCACTGGATCCCCACGGCCGTTAATTTCGGTTTTCTAGAGCGGAGCCGCTATTTCCTTGAAATAGCTCCTCAATTATCCTCACGAGGCTGTGTGGACCCCGTTCCAGACCAAGTACTCCTCAGAAAATATGGTAGAGCGGGGAATCGAACCCGGACCTCTTGATTTGTAGCCAGGAATTCTGACCACTGGACCACAGAGGCGGTCAAGCAACATCGTCAAGTCGATGTAAACTATATGCCTGGTTTATTATACGAGGAATTTCTTCTTTATCCTGTAGAGACAAGTACAGTTGTTTC